CTTCTTTTCCCTGGGTTCTTGTAACAATGGCCCAGGGGGACTTTTTCCTTTTGGAACGGGGGGGGGGGGGGACCCCCTTTCTTTTTGTACAAAAAGGAAGACCCGGCCCCAATTTTCGGGGGGGGGGGGGGGGGGTCTCTGAACGCTCCTCCCCTAACGTGTTCAATCTATAAAAACTCTTGCCCCCTTCCGTCGTACGGCAATCGCAGCGAGGAGGAACCTCGTGGAGCACGTTTCCAAACGTCATCTTGACCCCCTCCCTCATTTCTTGTGCTCTCATCGAAGTTCGGGAAACTATCGGAAATAGCACACGGGGCCCCGTCAAGGATTAAAATCCATTCACCCCCCCCCCTAGTGCGGGGATGGCAACCAAAAGCCCTCTATCAACATTGGAGAACATGCCCCTTCCCCTGCCCCCGACTGCGACCTTATGCACGTTTGGGGCATGATCCGACTCGGCGGGTACTGCGCAAAATGCATCGCCAAGCGTAAACAAAGGGCAGGAAGGGAAAGGCGCTGACAGGAGACTCACACCGTCTCACAGGAAACGTGAGGTTGATGTACATATACATACACGGGGTGCGCGTGTGAAGGGGGTGGGGGGGGTACACTCGTGTGTTTTGCATGCCTTAGCGGCTAGACCGTTGACCACGTGTCCTCGAGAGGACGGCGCGTGCCAAGAGGGGGTGCGGGGTATTAATGTAAACACATTCCCGTGGCTGTTAGACCATAGACCACGCCTCCCTACAATGCCGGGACGGAGGGATGTGCCGGGTTTTCGCCGGCCCAGGCTACGTTTCATGAGGTAGAACCAGAAGCTGACCATCGCCCTTGCGTGTGCTGTGTCGATCAAGCTATGCCATTGGGTTGGCTGGAAGGGAGGGGTACCTGAAGGGAGAGCGACAGAAGGAAAGCAGCCGTTTCTTCCACATTGTCCACCCTCTTGATCGCGAAGCCCTGGACAAACAGACAGAGAGCCGTAGGGAAACACAGCAACCGTGCGGGGCAAAGGATTGCCATGCAATTCCATGCTTTCGCGTACCGGATGCCAACACGGTGACAGCAGTCTTCAGCAGCAAAGACACGGAACGGTGACCAGCGTCGCGACATCAACAACAACAGACAGCATAGTGGCGACAAACGAGACTCCGCGTGCATCGGCACCGACACCAACACCAACATCAACATCATCATAATCACAATGCAACACAACCAACAGATACGTAGTGACGACAACAAGAAGCCTCGTGCATCGCCACCAACATCATCATCATCATCATCATCAGCAGCAGCAGCAGCAGCAGCAGTTTTGAGTGGTGCGATTTCTAAGGCAACCTAGATACCTCAGCAAGAGTGTCGGTCTCCATCGTGCGCATCGTCTTGGTCTTGTCAACCGACGACTTGTATGCGACGTGCCCTTCAAGCTTCCCCTCCAGCAGATAAATCAGCCGGCTCAGCCCGCACAAGGACATGCGCCGCTTCTGCGCGCGGTATCTCCCGGCCAAGCCCTGAAGTCATCCAAGGGTCACCCGATCGACCGTTCAGTCCGGAACAAACAAAGCAAAAAATCGGACATGAACGGATCCAGTACGCGTTTTTGTCGCCGGCTCAACAGACAGAAATGCAAGCCGTGTGTTGTGTAAAAAAAATGCTACATACGACACACAGCAGTGCTTGCAACTCGGTGGTTGGATGTGGTTCAATAGGTAACCTCGCAACCTTGTTGACGTTTTGGGGCGAGCGAAGGAACAGCGGCTGAATCCTTCTCGCGACGCATAAGCACTGCTTCACAAGAACCGCACAAGGAGGGAAGGAAGGCGGAGAACTCCTGTGTGGCCTTCCTCCCTCCCGTGTGACTCCGGCTGGTACGTGCAGAAATGATGTACCGAAAAAGTGTGACAAAACTACAACAAACGCCACGACAACAAGCAAGAACACAAGACAACAGATAGTAAAGCGGGCACACGTAAGAAATAACTTGGAAGAAAATGAACAAACTGTTGTATACAGCCGAAGAGAATTCAAAATCTAAGAACTTGAGCACCGTTTGTGAGCTCGGTTGAGAACCCCCGTAAAAAAACCTGGTATAACCGGCCATTCATTCGTAGCACGACACTATTAACAACTAGAACAAAGAACCCCAGCCTCAAACAAAAACTAGGGTCTTAAGTGAGGGCGCTTTCTCTATGTATACATGCGTGAGCGCCCACGCCCTCGAGACATGTCTCTGCTCCAGGCCTCCAGAAAAATGTCCTACTACAGACTACAGCACGCCTCCCCCACAGCTGATGTACCTCGACACTGTTGATGATGTCGTCTTCCTTCTTCCTCTCCACCAGGCAGTCCAGCAGCAGCAGCTCTTCCGACGGCCCCGTCAGCAAATCGGTGCCGCGGGAACCGCTCCTCCTTCTCCTCCACGCCCACGCGAAGTCCCCCGTCTAGTACAAACAATTTCGTTGTTGTTTCGAAGCAACAGACAAGACGCGAGGATGAGAGAGAGGAGAGCGAGAGAGAGAGAGAGACAAACGGAATAAACAAACCAGATGGTGATAAAACAAAAAACATGAAAAATAAACGGCTACGGTGTGATGATGGCAGCAATCTGGATCGTCATCGGACAGCCGAAATAGGACGCGCCAGCAAAACATCCTTCCGGCTACCCGTCTGCCATGGCTGATTCCCTCAGCAAAGGTGCGTGTTGTGCACGTCACTATTAGCACGCTCCGAGTCCCAAACCGCGAACCGCCCAAGCCATTGTGTGTACCTGGAGACCGGGGCCACGCTTGCACAATGGACCCCCCCCCACACTCCCTTACGTACAACCCAACAGCGAGCGCCAGCAGCAGGAAGAGGTTATCATCACACTACTTGTACAGGTTGTCAAAGACGTGTTTCGCTAACAATCTCTAAGGCGTGTTTCGTTAAATATCTCTTCGTTTGCACTCTACCATCTACCTGCAAACGAGCGACTTGCATCTCCAGGCCGACGACGCCTGTCGGAGACGCCGCGGCCAGCCCTGCTCGGCGGGGAGACAGCTGGGAGAGAAACCTGTTCCGGCCACAAGGAAAAAAGAAAGCGTGGGCGTTGAAACAAGGAGCGAGAGAGCGAGAGAGAGGGGGGGGGGGACGAGAGAGCGAGGCGCGCGAGAGAGACAGACAGGCAGACAGACAGACAAACGGACAGACAGATGGAAGCTCCAGCTTAGACCAACTACGTGGTATTTCAACCGGCTCTCCCCACCGAAGTGGGCCAGGTACGTTGTCGCCAAGTTCAGTGAGACTAATGCAGGACGACCAGCAGCATCAGCGTTGCAGCAACAGAAACAGCAGGCGGCCGTGGCCCCAGGAGAAGCCGACTCAACCCGCCGAACGCTGAAAACAGACAGATCAATTCTCGTCTAGCAGTGCCCGCTACTATTTACTGTGACCTGGGTACTGCTGTTGTACGAGAAAAGTCAAGAGCAAGGAACTGCCTTTTACGTCAACATCGTTGGGCCCGGATGTGTCTCGAACCTAAGCGCCGCGACGGTGACGGTGAGACACCTTTTCAATCAAGCACCAACCTCCTGCTCACCCTGAAGCCCTGACCCGAGGAAAACGACGCTGGCGAATGAGTGAAAGTGAGGTTGTACAACGGGGTGTGCCGCTGGTTGTATGCATATACCGCTCGTTCTCCGACAAAACAAAACAACCACGGCTCCAGAGAAAACAAAACAAAAAATAACAGAAAGAGGGGTGTAGAGCTCTCGGTAGCAGGACACGAAACTATCTTTCCCACACATAAAAAAAAACCTCATGTGGCACCAAAAAAAGTGCGTGTTCCATCCATTTATCACACAGGACACGCGACAAATGAACGGCGTTCGGCAAAATAGACTCTACCAAATAAAAGGATTACGCTCCGCGGGAACCCCCTTACGTCCTCCTAAAACATACTTGGTACCACCTTGCAGGCAAGCGGCGAGAGAACGACAACAGACGGGGGCAAACGCACACACACACGTTCACCTCTCCAGCTTGTCTCGGATGGGGGCTCGGACCTTGTCTCGCTGTTCCCCGAGGTCCACAATCAGCACGAGGTCAAACGCGTCGACCATCCGGTCTGAGAGAGGGGCAAAGACACGGCCGGCCGGGGCGGGAGGTCAAGGCCGGCTGTTAGCTAGCGGGCGTGTAACGGCAGACTGTGGTGTGCGGGTCGGTGGGAGGCAGACGCTTCGGAGGCTTGCCGCCGACCGCAAAAAAACTTGGTAACACTCGAGAGTGGAGCGTGGAGCGGGCGGGCCTCGGGGTAGGTAAGGGGGACAGTTGGCGCCAGCTAAGTTTGTTGGTCATGGAGGAGAACCATGACGCCCACCACTTCCGGGCGAAAGACACAAGACAACCGGCCTCGCCGCGAGGAAATCCTAGCCACACCAAGACAGAGATGGTCTCTCGGAGCAGCAGGTGGATGTTTGGGGCCCTTTCGAGGGCAACGTCGGCTATAAACGAACGAGGCTCTTGTTCTTCGAATGTCTCGCCCTCAAACATGCCGTCAAAAGGGAGTTGTGTTACAGTAGCATTTTACATCTTGCGTAGATGCGTAGCAACACGATTGCATAGGTTTGTCGTTGTTAACCCTGTTAGTCGGAGTCTTGTCGCCCCTTTCATAGAAAAAAATCAGGGCTGTTCTCGGTACTTCTACCATGAGCGGCGCTACCACCTTGAATCCATCACAAAAGAGTTACGAACAGGGATAAAACAACTGTAAACCTATCACAAGAAAGTCAACACAAAGGGAAATCGTAAGGGACATCATACACGTATATTTTTAACACCAAGTGTCACCCGTGATATGGCCACGGTATTTTGTTCGCGGTAATTCGATCTTTGAACTCACCAGCGTCCCAAGTTCATTTCACCGTGAACGAAATTCCGTGGCGACTACACGTACATAGCCTCACTTTCTTCCGAACGCACGCTCGACACCCGCATCCCGGTACACCACTCACCCTTTCCGCTCAAGGCACCAGCGTCCAGCTCCCTCTGAAGCCAGGCGGGGCAAGCACGACCGCGCCAGCTCAACGCGCCGTTCTCGGAAGGGTCGGCGGCGGCCCCTCGCGCCATCGACCGATACAGCGTCGGAGGCACCAGCGGCACGACTCCCCCTTCGCCGGGCCCCGGTGCGCCAACGCCAGCAGCAACGGACGCCGCGGCGTGGTGGGCCTGTCCTACACGGATCGCCGCACCACCACCACCCCCCGCCCGCGGCTGGGTTACCGACGGGAAGACTACCGATGCCCCCGCACTGCTGCTGCTGCTGCTGCTGCTGCCCCTGCCAAAGCTGCTGCTGATGTTGCTGCTCCTACGTAACTGGGTCGGTGCTTGAGCGCGGTCCGGGGAAAATACCGCGGCGGCTTCCGCACCATCGCAGCCGCCGCCCTCGTCTTCGTCGTCGCTGAGGGAGATGTCCACCACATCCTCAACCACCGTCACCCCTCCGCCTCTACCTCCCGTCTCCGAGCTGGTCGCAGTCTTCCTCTTGTTCCCTCGTGCCGAGGGCACAGCAGACCGTGACGGCGGCGGCGGCGGCGGCGCGGCCCTCCGTGACACAGCGCCTACGCTCGAGGGTTCGGGACTTGTTGTCTTCGGCCGGCCGTCGCTAGCGCGACGGTTCCACGCCGGCGGCGGCGATGACACCTCTAGCGCCGGCGGGCTGCTTACCGGCCTCGACGTCAACGACATCCAGTCGTTGTCGATTGAGCCAAGCTCGTCGGCGCCTCTGGCGGCGGCGGTAGAAGCTGGTGGGGTTGGTTCGCTTTTTTCCCTGCTTGCGGCGGACTTGCTGCCCCCCTGCTGCTGGCCGCACTGTTGTAGAGCAGCCAGAAGCATGCCGCTCGTGCCCGCGCGGTCGCAGAGACGGGGAGGACCCGGCGATGACATTTCGTACAGCTTCGCCCGTTTCGCGTGCTTCTCCTGGCCCCTGTTCGCAATCGACGGAACGCCGAAGAACCGCGGCAGCGGCAGCAGGCGGAGAGCAACTCGTTCATGACGTCGCAACACAAGGGTAGAAGCCAGCGGGGGCGAGCTTCGCACGGCGGCGAGAACATGCTGCCTCGCTGCTGCAGCAGCAACGGCGCTCACAAAAGCGGTAGTCTTGTGTCTCTCAGAAGAGTAAAAAGGGACGGTTCACAGCGAAAAACAAACATACAAGATCTTCATCGTCTGGCAATTCGAAAAATAGGTCGCACCGCTCTTTGCTACAAAGGCCTGCGCACTGCGAAACACCACGGGTATGGAGACGGCTGACGGGTCATTGCTGCCCGGTGAAAACCCATCCCACGCCAACGGCGCGTCATACAGCACTACGCCACCCCCGCGGGATCGGCAACAGACAGCGCTGTCCCAACACCCAAAGACGTTTGCGGCAGAGACACTCCTGGCGTTTCCCACCTCCCTCTACCCGAATCTTGAAGTCCCGAGATCCGTCCCGACTACTCTTTGCACGACGTACCTCCCCTGCAGCATCCGCCCTCGGGTAGTCCCCGCCGGCGCTATCACCTTCGCCTTCGAAGCGGCCTCCACCGACCTTCTAGCCTCTGCGGCACGCGCGGCTAGGGCACTGGCTGTCGACACGCCACCGCGACCACCGCCGCTGCTGCCGCCACCACTGCCGCCGCCGCCGCCGCTGCTGCTACGAGCAAAGGCCGCGGCAATCCCACCGCTGGGCGAGTACGGGTTTCGGACGGAGGAGGGCACGCCGCTTGTGCCGGGCGCCGCCGCCGCCGCTCCAGTTCGCCTAGGCGGCGAAAAGGCGTTCGGAGAAGAACTGCCGGCGCCACCACCGCTATTGGCGTCGCTGTGCGCCGTGTTGCTGGAGGCGTTGCTAACCCCAAAGTCCTCCGGGTGTTCCTGGCGATGAAAATCAAACCAGCGATTAAGCGACCAGGATTTCAAAGGGATGGTCATTCAGCATGTCCGACGTACACATGGGGAGTTTTGAGAGATGCGACATAATAGTGTCCGCACGAACATGCTGCTGCGTCGCGAAACATGCACACGCAACGAAACAGCCGCGCGTGAGAGACACGGGGGCGGGAACTACGGTGTAGCAAAACCAGGCCTCCTTGTAGCACCGCTCATTGGACTAACACATAGCGGCGGTGCCTGCAGACGGTATCCGTGTGTGTCTTTCGTCACCTGCACGACCTTGAACGCCACCTCTCTTCCCTTCGGCGTTAGGCTGAAGGTGTGTGGTCGCCCTTTGTGCCTGTCGACCAGTC